ATCAAACGAAGCAACACAAAAAGCAGCTTGTGCACCAGCGCCGCAAGCCATGGCAAGCACCATACCATCGATGGCAGCCACATCGCAGTGGCTATCAATGCAGTGCCTGTGGAGAGAGGGTGCATCAAGCCCTTACTGCAGAAACCATTACCGACAAGCTGGCCCAACAGTGCCCACAGCTCCTCCTCCTTGAAGAAGAGCACCCGGAACAGCACAGCCCGCACCAGCCCATCCAGAGAAAACTCACCAGAGCTCAGATCATTGCCAATCTCATTGCCAAGCAAACCGCCCAGCAACCCGAGAGCCAACTCGATGCACAGCAGAGACCCATTCTCACTGCAGTGTTGAAGAAGCCTTGCAAGGGAGCTCCCATAGGCGCCTCACCGCCGCTTACAGAGATCTTCCGCCGTCAAACTGCTCAGGCTAGTCAGTCTGATGACAAGCAGACTAGGAGATCACCCGACCCGAGCCCAGCTAATGTCAAAGACAAAGCAAAGATCCAGGCAGGCCATGAACCCCAGCCAAACCAGGATCACCGCGCCACACCAGGGCTGGCTGACAGCACTTCACCCATCGTGCCAAGGCAGCTGACCTATCAGGCTGCCTTAACAACACCGGCTCAGACACCTCTGTCCCCTGCGCTACCATCAGGAACAATGCCATGGGCTCAAGGCCATGATGCCGCAGCAAGAACCTCAGACACCAGCAGCCAAAAGCAGAGATCTGCAGCGCTGCCAAGAGACAGGCCAGAAGCCAACAATGATGGCACGCAAGAGGACGCTACATCTGAGAGCAGTCAGGACCCTGACTTTGAAGTTGACTACTTCTAGCCGGGACCTCGTCTTCCTCAATGCCTTCATGCACCACCAGCACAACTACCCTGGCGGCCTGCTGCTGTCCTTGGCCAATGTGCCTAAACTCGTTCGCCCGAAAAGACAACCTTAGGAAAAAATACATACATCCATCCATGCATGCATGCATGCATACATCCATACATGCATACAAACATAGCATAACATAACATAACATAACATAACATAACATACATAACATACATACATATCATACACAACATACATAACATACACAACATACACAACATACATAACATGCAATACATACAATACAATAATGCATACATACATACATACATTACATTACATTACATTACATTACATTACATTACATTGCATACATACATACGAGACTTGCCGCACAGGTACAGGCCTCTTGCATAGGGCTTAGACTTATACTTATTTGCAGCTTGATGAGCCACCTGACTCGAAACAAGGTATGCAGGATTGCGAATGTTGCTTGTCTACGACTCAATGACGCGAAAAGGACTTCGCAGCAAAAGAGGGGCAATGGTGCAATGTGTTACTGTCTCCGCTCTACGCGACTGGCAATCACTCGTTCCTTGTTTTCAGAATAAGACACAGACAGGCAATCCGCAAAGTTGCGAGCATAAGCGGGAAACCTGTTGGTGTGTAGATCACCCACCAACATGCTAACAACCGAAGCAGCAGTTACCTTCTTGGGCACGCGTCCTCTATTCTGTGTTCATCTGGCGGGCCCCAACTGCAAGGAGAACAATAACCAATGGCCAGCCAAGATACTTTGTCATGGAGCACAACTCTTCATGTTTAGATGCTTGTGAGCCAGCTCAAGACACGAACTGCTTTCATCCGCGGCACTTCATCTCAAGAAACGTGCCAGCCGCGACAACCACATCCCACACAATATACACAATCCGCTTGTCATTGCATTCTGAAGCACAAGAAGCACCTCACATCGCATTTGTTTGGTGATGATCATGATGATGACGACTTGACGCAACTCTACCTGTCCTTCTCCTCGATGTTCCAGAGCACTGCAACATCATCCTGCTCGCATGGTAGTAAGAGCTTGTTTTGATCAAATCGGAACAGGTAGCAACATAAGTGCCTGCCCTCCAGTCAGCAGCACACTCCTGTACCAAGCATCGGTTCAAGCAAAGGAAGATTCAATATGCGGTACAACGCCTGTTTGTTGGGCTGAATGCAACGGAGAGGACAGCTTCTGCGTGAGCCTGAGGGTGGGAGGTGCGGAAGAGTTTGCGGAGCTGGTGGTGGTGAGAATAGTGTAAAAGCAGTAACAGCTTAGCTCAAAGCCACTTTGACCTGAGGGAAAGCACAATGTAAAGTGGGAGTTCTGTGACACGCAGCAGGAAGCTGGAGATTGAGCTTTGTGCTAGTGAATCATCCACTGCAGGACCAGTGTCCTGCGAGCGGAAAGCGTCGCACAATCATGTGATCTGAGATCTGTTTCAAATCAGCATCTTCAATTAGTTCAATCTTCACTCCCTCACGGTTTTTGAGGTCCTCGTCCGAATAAATTTCATTTTCTGGAACGACACCAATCTGCAATAACGAGAACGCTTGCACTGAGCTCACGGTGAACAGTATGGAATGATGAGCTAAGTGGCTTCAGTCAGGGAGAAGTAAACAACAAACTATTTTGTGTACTTCTCGCGTTGGACAACTTCGATCCCTATGGCTTGAGCCTCCTCATCATCATCGCCCATATCATCACCTGGTGTGGGTGTAACTTTGCAGTTTTTGTCTCCTTCTACGATGGTTTCATTTCCCCTTGCATGAGTTGCTTCAAGTGAGCGTTACATCCACAAACAACCACCCCTCCTTCGTCATCGTCTGGAGGTTCATTGTCCTCCATCGTCACAAATTCAAGAACAAAATCTTTTCCAAATTTGCTAGAACTCATCGGGTATGGTTTCCGCTCCTCGAACTCTACCTCGAAGCACTCGCCTGTTCGGACCTCCTGGTCAAGTTCCTTGCCACAGCGGTGCCACACTGCAACGGTACAACATCACTTGCTGCAGGAAAGTTAGTCACGCCTGACCCTCGGCACCACCATCCCATGCCACAACTTCCATGTCCTCTCAGCACATCCAAGCCGCATTCGTCACCCGAATTGTAAATCAACGAGTGAAAGCCCCCAGGTCTTGGACTCAGCTAGCCCTTGCAATTTAAACAAAAAACATCCGGATATCCGGGCAAGAAACATCAAACAGTGTTGGATGAGAACTGCGCAAGAGCACCACACACATGTGTGCACAGTTTCATGTCGGAGACTTTGAGTTCTAGAGGTCTATGGTCTAAAGGTGTAGAAGCAGAGCTGGACGTATTGGATTCCAGAGAGAGAGAGAGAGAGAGATGTGGAGGTCTAGAGATCCAGAATCCAGAAGCCTAGAGGTCTAGAAAGACCTAAAGGGCTAGAGATCCACAAAGATCTAAAGGTCTAGAGGTCCGAGATCTAGACTAGAGGTCTAGAGTTGTAGGGGTCTAGAAAAATCGAAAGGTAGAGAGATTGAGAAAGGTCTAGAGGTCTAGATCAGAGAGGTCTTGAGATCTAGGGAGATCTAAAGCTCTGCAGGCCTAGATCTAGAGGTCTGGACAAAATCTCAAAAATATTAAGATTCCAGAGGTGTAGAGGTTTTGCCACTTGGAAGTCGAAAAGAATCTAAAAGCCTAGAGATCCAAAAGATCTAGGGATCTACAGGTCTGGAGGTCTAGAGAGAGCACACATTTGAGAGCACATGTATGAAAGCACGCACACGCATGAAAGCACACATATGAGAGCACTGCCACGAAATCTGCACTGTGAGGTTCTCAAAGCATTGCGCCCACCACGAAGTCTGCACTTCAAGCTCACAAAGCGCTGCGCCTGCCACGAAATCTGCACCTCAAGATTCACATCGCGCAGCCGTGTCAAGGCATTTCGCAGCAATAGCATTTCCAAAGACAACATCAAGATGTCAACACGCAGCTTTCACTTGAGGCTTCCCCGACTTCCGAAAACGAGCCCAATGTCCGAAGGTCAACGGTCACGGTTCACTGCACTTGCCACAAAACTAACTGGCGCCCAAGACATCTCCAGTCCAAAGTGCTGAGCCCCGAAGTCTACACACCGAAGTAAAATATGCCGATCTCCTGCACCTGCCACGAAAAGTCAACTTTGGACCACCAAAACACGAGGCTTCCCCTGCGCCTGCCACGAAAAGTGACCACCAAGTCGGAAAATGCGCACGGCACCACAACGAGAACGCGGTCCAAAAAAAGGCACCCGCTCGTGCAAGCCTGCGCAGTCGAAATGCAGTTTAGAGGTTAGAGATCTCGAGAGGCGTGAATGTATCGTAAATAGCAGCGTACTAGCCGCACATGCTGATGAGCATGTGCGGAATCAAACACCCGGCCTTAACACCTAGCGTGGCCATACTGTTTGAGGAAAAATGTTTTTATATGTTCTTCTTCTTCTTCTTCTTCTTCTTCTTCTTCTTCTTCTTCTTCTTCTTCTTCTTCTTCTTCTCCTGCTTCTTCTTCTTCTTCTTCTTCTTCTTTGAACCTTTAGAACGTCTGTTTCGTTCTTTTCTTTCATTCATGTCTTGTTGGTTTTCTTCTTTTCTTCCTTCCCTTTTTCCTTTCTGTCTTTTCATTTATGTCCTTTTCTTTGTTTCCTTATATAGACCTTTCATTTGGTCTTTTCTTGCTTTTTGAGAGGGCTTGGGTCTTGGACTCAGCTACCCCTTCCTACAACCAAGAACGAGTCTTTGGAAACGAGAACGCCAAAATTGTTTTTTGTCCCTTCCCGAACCTCATCAATGCCAGCTCCCCGCCCATCGGCCATTGCCTGAAAAATAAAGCAAGAGCTATTGGATCTATCGCAATGTCTTGTATCTCCCACCTGGGTCTTATCAAGAACGCTGCACACTGCTTTGAGGTCTGTAAATGAGCGGCGGTAAAAGTTTTTGCATGTGTTGCAGTTGAGATTAGCCTGGGGAGCTCAGACTGCACAAATCCAGCACTGTCGGGTTCTGCCGTCAAAGGCCATTCGAGCAAACTACCAAATCCCTACAATCCTACAACCTTGGGAAGACAAGAATCATATTCCTTTCCCGTTTACCATCAAGATCAGCGTTTCTCTGCTTTCGGGAGTGTGGGCACCGCATCAGAGATCTGATCCCCAAGCACTTGTGCCTGGGTGGGATGAGAAGGCCGAGGAAAACGTAACTCAACAAATGAAAACTCCGTTAACCTTGTAGTTTCTCATGAAAGCTAAAATGCTCAACTCATTAAGAATGTAAAAAGACCCATGTAAAAAGACCCAAAGTATTCAGCAGGGGCTCCCACGATGCGCTTCAAGTTGGAAGAGTCAATCTTCTTGTCCCTACATGGCAAATGGATTGATGCACCGATTGTTGAATTGCTCACAGCCAAAACGCCCCTCTAATCTGGCCATTGTGTGCGTTAACAAAAAAAGTAACATATCACGTCCCCTCAAGTTCTCAAGCACCTCGTCACAGGTGCGTGGTCAATTCATCCGATCTTCAGGCTAGCTTCCCCAAAGTATCTAGCCGTTTCATTAGCAAAGACTGTGTCCTTGCTACTAGTAGCTACTTAAGCTACCAGCTACATTACCTACCCCTGGATGCCGGCCCGGCTTGGCAAGGGGCGGATGCGGCGAGCACGGGAAGGTTGCGGGACGGGTTTTCCCGGCGAGTTCGGAGCTGGTTGCCAGGGCGTGCTGAGTAGGCTCGCATCGCCCTGACATTGGGCACTGGAAGCTGAAGAAGCGGAAGATTTAGAAGGGATTGTTAAGGGGAATCGTGTGTGGCGCAGTTCTATTGGGGCAAGTATGGAAAAAGTAAGTAGAAACTTACAGAGACATGCATGGAAAAGAATGGAAAAGTCAGATGTCTAGAGAAGAGAAATTACTGTGAAACCTATTGAGAAGTAGAAATCCAAAGAGAAGAGTAATAAAAAGTAGAAATTTCTAGATAAAAGTACCGAAACTAGAAATGTCCACTGCAGAATAAAGTATTGAAAAGTAGTTTTCTAGAGACAAGCATCCGAAATGCAAAGATCTCTTCACCTCACCACAACGCTTCACCACATCAAGAATCACCACATTATATTTCACCAAGCTATACTACCCTTCAACAAGTCACAAGCACGTCACATTCATCACACACCAAATCCTCACACCGCTTCATCACACAACAATCACATTCCGACCCTGCCAGGATCTACCTGGTAATCAAACATCTACTAGGAGCAAGGGCATCGCTACTAGTAAAAAAGGGCATCGCTACTAGGAGCAAGGCTAGTAGGGGCGCTCTTGGCATTACTACTAGTAGCAAAGATGCTACTAGTAACAAAGGGAAGAACTGAAAGTAAAGCCTAGAGGTAACATATTCCAACAAATGCTCCAGAAGCCTACTGGCCTTCTCTGAGGCTCCAGGTCATCAAGAAAGTCAAAGACCTCCTGCATGTTGTCCCTGCAAGGAGGAGCAGGAGAGGGCCCCAAAGAGGGCCGCTAGCTTGAAGTTATAATAGGCATAGCGCTATTCACCGTGTTCTCAACAGCACAAAACTCCACTTAGCTAGCATCCCAGAAATAGAAAGGAGCACTGACCCAGTACCACCATTGTCATGTCATATGCGACTTCGGTAAGTTGCATTATCCAAATGTGAGGCTGTTCAGCCGCAAGTGTTCAAACGTAACGCTCCCTGTTTTGTCATTCAAACTAGCAGACCATGGTGCTCGGAAACGTGCAGCTCACTTGGTGAGCCTTCGAAGAGATTCTGACCACTTCGAGTTGGCTCTCTTGCATTACTTCTCCAACAAAAATGAGGCAAATGCTCGAAAGCTCAATGCACAACTCAAAGGGTCTTTCCTAGCAACTGGAACTTCCCTTCCGCCATCTCTGCAAAGTACATCATAGTACATCCAGTTCATGGTTTGTCCACACTTGTTCGCACTCATAAAAAAATGACACGAGTTCTGACGCAAGATGGCGCCCATAAACATCTGCAGTCTCTTTCGTGCATTAACCGTCATGGGATGAGCATCAACATTTCCTGCGCAGACTAAAGTGACAAGCAGAAAAAGACCGCCAAGGCTATGAGTGATTCTTTGTGGAGCGTAGCTTTGCCGCTCCCGCTTCAACTCTCTAAGAACTCTTCGATAGTTTCCATCCTGACAACTTTGCTGCGGGGGTCATTTGCAGAGAGATTGTGCAAGTCTGCCTCAAATGGAAACGTCCACAAACTGTTTCAAATGAATTCGTGAGCAACCACTAGGACCATGAGCAACACTTTTATGAACCATCCTGGAGCATCAGAAACTGGGAAAGCAATTCTACGCAACTTCTTGATCAACTTCTCAGGTACAAGCCTTCGGGGGCGATGCCTCATCACCTCAGGCAGAGCATGAATAAATCCGAGGTTTAGTGGCTTCGCGGCTCAAACTTCTTACCACTCGTCCATGGAATAGAAAGGAAAGTCAAGGCTGGCTTCCGCTTGTTTTCTGTCTGGATTGTTTGCGCACTGCGCTTCAACAAGCCCCATGCCGTAGATGCACTGCTCGGAACCTGTTCATCTTCAGACTCCAGAAATGCCTCAGTTTACCAGTCCTTTGCGAATCGCACCTCTTCATTGCATATGATACCCACTGTGCCAGCTCAGGGTCCAGCATGCAACGACATTAACTCAAATGAATCTTCGTGAATCAGGGAACTGTCCTAGCAGGATTGGCAGAACTCTCAATTCGTGAGTACTCCAACCTAGACGCCACTCTCAACTGGATTACAAACGGACACAAGAGAGGTCTGAGACTGTCCTCTGCAATGCCAATGCTTGAGCGGCGTTCAAAGTCACTGCAAGTGGTGGAAACAGTCGAAACATCTTTCTCATCATCGGCCTTGCTTGAGACAAAATCTAGCAATCTCTATTGGCTGCATCGGGCGGGATAAAAAGTAAACCGAGCACACAAAAGATAGGATCAAACGTACATAATCTCATTGTTAAGGTGAGGTTTAGAAGAGTCCAGCTTCGCTTGCATGGCGAGGTACACAAATCGAAATGGATGACGCTGAAGGAGAGACGGGTCGTCCAAAGTCTGGCAAGCAAATCCACTTAAGATAAAAGGATTGAGATTCTCGCGAAACTCCTCTTCAACATTGAACGCTTGATTGCACCTCCAATTTCTTGATTGCTCTTGCCGCTTGCTCGTGCGCAACACGACACCTGGGGTGTCATCTGCTAATTTGGAATGCTTTGCGGGAAAACACACACATCAAATGCATCCATTGAGTCCGCTCCTTCCAAAGTTCGTGCAGGAAAGCTGCGAAGGCCATAGCAGGCCCAACGGAGATATGGACATACAGTCTGGCCGGGATAGTTGAGACTGAGGTGGCAGCCATGACTCAAATCAACTTCTTGTAAGTTGGTTTATGTGCAAATGCACGGACAAGTGAGAAATTCTAATAATCTAGCGGCCTAGTGTCAAGGATAAATGCAACATGATTTCAACACCATTGGAGGCCATCACTATATATTGGGTTGGAGGCCATTGCTATTAGGTTGAAGGCTACTGCAATTAGGTTGCTGTACTCTAAATCACCTGGACCTGTCCGACAATGGGTAGGTATCCCTCTCGTCCCAGCTTTGAGCCAAGAGATGGCGGTCACAACCAGTTCTGGCCAAGTCGCACCAAGTCAACGAGTCATGGTCTGAAGAGTGCCGAACGACTGAGAAACCAGAACTCTTGTTTCTGCGCGGCTTCATGCAGACTCCATCAGTCAGAGGCAAGACAAGCCTTGAGGCCTGAGATTAGATTTATAGTTTTGCTCATCTGTGACATTGCAGCAAAGTATTCTAAAGATGCCCTTAGGCAGGAGCCAGCAGCAAGAACCTCAGATATCTGGAGTTGCAAGTTGGAAGCTAAAGCCCTTGCTAGACTCTGAACTTGTACTGGTGACAAGAGGTAGTGGCAGCTGCAGCCCTAAACCTCAGCCAGTCCTGATCCTGTTTCCTGTTTCCAAGCACTTGGAGCAAGAAGACAAGCCACCAAGATACTGAGGTCACCGCATCTCGCTGTAAGCCCCGGCCAATGAAGAGCATTTTGCTCCTCTCGACCGTGGCTTTGCCGGCCTGATCGCTGATTGCACGGTGGAAGCGGCAAGATCTTTGGTGTTTGGCGGCACTCCGGCCTGTTCAATTTCAAAGATCTTGCCAACTCCTTGCAGCGCCTTCCAGTGGCCAACTCCCATCGCTACACACAGATACAATGAGCGCAGGGCGTGCGATACGATGGTTGTCTGCTCTGGTGGATCCTGTCGCGAGATCGCCGCGCAACCCTTTGGTTCTGATGCTTCGGCAGACTCACAAGACTCTCCACGATGTTGAATGCAATGGATTAAGTATATAGATTGCAGCAATCAGCACACAAGGAAGATCATGAAACATTACCATCAGCGATGATGTCCTCTGACAAACACCAGCAATGATGTTTTGTTTGCGAATGCAAAACGCAAAGGGAAGCCTCTTCATCTTCTGGAGGTCCCCTGCCAATGTTTTTCTGATCTGCTGCATCTCCAAATCAATCCACAAGTTCCCACCTGAAAAGGCCCTTGCAGCGGTACACGAATCCAGCAGTTCCCTGCAACAGCACAAAAACCAAAAAATGGCACCCTTCAGCAAAGACTTATTCAATTTCACAAGAAATTGAAGAGCTTCGAGCACCTCCCATAGGACTTCAGCAAGCCAGGAGCGAACCTCAAAGATTTGGTGCCTCCGTCAAGTTAAGCGGCTCCAAAGTGAGCTTTGCCTTGTTGGGATCGTAGAGTGCACCAGCCTCACGAGGCTTCAGCACAGGTCAGAGCACTTGGCCTTGTGAGCAAATCCAAAAAAAAAGTGACCTACTAGGTTGGAGTCCATCGCTATGAGGTTGGAGGCAACACCCAATAGGTTGGAGGCCCTCGCTACTAGGTTGGAGGCCAACGCTATTAGGTTGGAGGCCCTCGCTACTAGGTTGGAGGCCATCGCTAGTAGGTTGGAAGCCATCGCTAGTAGGTTGGAGGCCCTCACTATTAGGCTGGGGGCCATCGCTACTAGGTTGGAGGCCATCGATAGTACTATTAGGTTGGAGGCCATCGCTACTAGATTGGAGGCTACTAGGTTGATCTTCTCCTGTGCGTTGCAAGTCTTTGTTAGGTTAGGTTGCCTTCGGACTCCGCCACTCAGCCCCTTCCCCGCCACCAGTGCCCGGGGGGGGCCCTTCTGCGAGTAAAATGCCATCGCTAGTAGGTAGGAGGCCATTGCTATTAGGTTGTAGTTAGTAGGTTGGCGGCCATCGCTAGTAGGTTAGAGGCCATCGCTATTAGGTTGGAGGCCATCGCTATTAGGTTGGAGGCCATCACTACTGGTGGGGGCCATCGCTAATAGGTTGGAGGTCATGGCTAGTAGGTTGGAGGCCCTCACTATTAGGTTGGAGGCCATCGCTAGTAGGTTGGAGGCCATCGCTACTAGGTGGAGGCCATCGCTAGTACGTTGGAGGCCATCGCTACTAGGTGGAGGCCATCGCTACTAGGTGGAGGCCATCGCTATTAGGTTGGAGGCCATCGCTAGTAATCTTTAGGTTGGAGGCCATCGCTACTAGGTGGAGGCCATCGCTAGTAGGTTGGAGGCCACCGCTATTAGGTTGGAGGCCATCGCTAGTACTATTAGGTTGGAGGCCA